ATCTCCTCTGTAGAATCGCTTCTGATCTAAGTTTACAGGCAGGTCAGTTGGAGTCGTAAGCTCGACATCCATCTCCTCTATAGACTTAGCGTCAGAAAGAAATTTTTAAGTTTACTCTGTCCATAAAGGTCCCATGAGTAGCTAGGGAAAAAATGTCGATCACGGCAGAGCCCCGCATTACCGTAACAAGGCGATGCTACGACGAGAGGGCGCCCGGTATCTCGAAGCACAGATTAAATAAATGCCGCCTTTGATGTTTGATGGCTCAAAATTCGTAACCTTGAATATGATGTGTATACCACCTCGATATACAGGGAGAAAAAGGTTTGGTTGATTTCAACTATTTCCTCTTAATGTACACTGAAAAAACATGCTTTTGCTGTTCACAGAAAATGTGATGGTATTTTTGTAGTACATTATAATGAAATAAAGAAACTCGCATATTGACAAATTTGATTACAGAGATGAGTAGATATCATCAATTAAGTTCAATAGTGAAATCTGAAATCATTTTGAATATTTTCTTATTAGTCAGTGGGCTATACTTGAAGACTGGCAGTAAACAAATCTAAAAAAATGAACTTCAAACGTTCAAGCCAGTCTCGAATATACCTACACAGTAAGTTGAATGGGATGACGCCTATCAGAAAACAACTACTCTCCTCATGAAGGGCGTTGGATTATATCCGACAGGCGTCAGTGCAGGAATCTTCACAGTTGGTTAGTACCACGTCCACTAGATTGAGTGATATTTTGTTGTTCGCTCCAACTTAGGAAGAGGAATGAAATAGTCTGAAAGAATTCCGATTTTCAATTATGGAATATCATTGACTTTAGGTCGATGATGGCCACTATCTTGCACTGACCAGTGGCTAATGAGCCCGAAACCGGTCTGCAAGTGTGCTCGTTCCAAAATTGAAGGTCGACTCGTTCAGTTGTATTGCTAATTGCATATGCAGGAAATTTTCTGTGAAAATTCCTGCACTGACGCCTGTCGGATATAATCCAACGCCCTTCGTGGTATTAGCCAGGGGAGTAGTTATTTTCTGATAGCGTCAGTTCATTCAACCTACTGTACAGGTATATTCAAGACTGGCTAGAACATTTAAAGTTCTTTAGATTTA